TGTCATGTGCGCCCCTGCCCCTCTGTTATCTCCTACGCATCCCCCTCTCTCACTTCGCAAGAGCAACGCAGGCAGCATCTGCGAGCCAGGTTCGCTCTCCCTCTCTCTCCTCCAGTCATCTCTCCCAGCGATGTTTACATTCTGATTGCACACGCCCACTCCCTGTATCATTCTTTCCTCTTTTACGCCCCCCTCTCAGGTCGCAATGGCGACGCAGCTACACAACTACTAACTTTAAAGGCCGACGGACTACCGCAGTGGCGTCAGATGGTAAGGGTCCAGTTATCTTACTGAGCATGCTCAGTAAGATTTTTTTCCCACATCTTTTATTCGGCCCTGCGACAGCTGCGACAGCTGCGACAGCGGGAGCGTTGGTTCTCCTAAAACGTGAACGAAACAGTGGCTTTCCGCCGCATTCGCGACGTAACTGGGCCCCCACTCTCTGACGTCACTGCGGCAGCCGTTCGGCCTTGAAATTTAGTCGGTGTTGTGCAGCCAGTGTCTACTACCCTAAACTCGCTCCCCTTATCGCTCCTCTAGACATCCCTGCTAGTGGCGTTTACACAACCACTGCGCATGCGCGTCCCCTCCCCCTTTCTGCTTCCCTGGGTTCCCCCTCTCGCCTCACAACGCCCACGCAGGCAGCCTGTGCTAGCGAGTTTATTGATTGAAAAAGCCGACTGCTCGCGCTGCACAACCATTCACTAGCCACCCTATATGTATAGGAACTGGATCTTGACCTGGAAGGTAATGCTGGCGGGGGATTTCTTCTGTGCGTTGTTGAACAATAAAAATTTGTGGCGTGCGCGTTAACTAAAGCCCGACTGCGGGTCTTTGTGTCCAATATGAGTATTCTGTTTCTCAATACCGATCAGCAGCGATTGATCTGTTTCAGTAAGAAACACTGGTCCATCACTGCGTGTAGTGCGCTTCCCAGGTTTCTCTCCTGTGCAACGCCGCGATGAGGACCAGCGTCAATGCCACCGCCACTTTGAGCTAATATTAGCACCCACCCACCGCTTCGCATTGACGCATGGCTTTTTTTAGCGAGAGATGGTGTGTTTTTTTCTCCGTCTACCTTCCAAAAGGGGTCAATGGGGTACCCGAATCGAATCGTCGTGTCGTGGCCTCCAGTTGACTCTTTTTTTTCTTGGAGTGCGTGGACTGATTGTAACGCAAAATAACTGTCGAATTCACATATAGAATTCGAAGAACTGCTCGGTAGTTCAATTGGGGAAAAATTATTGACTGCCATATATTAGTTTGTCTGATCAATGAGGCTATATATATATATATATATATATATATATATATATATATATATATATATATATATATATATATATAATATATATATCACTTTCTACGAAGTCCGGTACAGGGAATGCAGTGAAGCGCAATTGAAAATAGACTAGTCGAAAGCGACTGACGTATATGAAGTGCACTCAGTAAGAATATAAAGAACGTTTTATTCTAGCTTCTTTTATCGCTTACCATGAATGTGTTTATCAAACAGTGTTTACTGGTTTCCATTTGTGGCTCACTCAGGTACCGATTCAGCTGTTTAGGTACAATGTGCAAACATGTATCAATTTTGCCTCTGTAAGGTGACATGTTCCAGAGATGGTCGGCATCTTCCGGCCTGACTTGGCTGCAGAAGAGCCGCATAGATTGAGGCACTATTCGGAGAAATACGTCAATGCTGATGGCTGTGGGCAAGCTGGGACACTTCTGCTTCCCTATGCTTCCTTCTGGTTCCCTATGCCTCTCGGCTTACACGGATGCAGCCCACTGCTGCACACATAGCTTTTCGCTGACCGCTACTGGCTCAATACGCAAGACAGGCCTACTCACCTGCGTTCCAGCCAAGACGAACTCAGCGAACAAGACGAAAACTCTAGCGGTAGTGCTCGCCATCAAAAACGAAGAAGTCAAGTGGCAGAAATATATCATCACGGACTCTCAATACCGTGTCGTCATTTCACTGGTGCAACAACCTCGGCAAGGAGCAGCGCTTCGCGATAGGTAATAGTGCACTTGAAGTTGTAAAAGACTATGTCTACTTAGGGCAGGTAATAACCGCAGAGCCGAACCACGAGATAGAAGTAACTAGAAGAATAAGAATGGGGTGGAACACATTCGGCAAGCACTCTCAAATTATGACAGGTAGATTGCCACTATCCCTCAAGAGGAAGGTATATAACAGCTGTATCTTGCCGGTACTTAGCTACGGAGCAGAAACCCGGAGACTTACAAAGAAGGTTTAGCTTAAATTGAGGACGACACAGCGGGCAACGGAAAGAAAAATGGTAGGTGTAACCTTAAGAGACAAGAAGAGAGCAGAGTGCATTAGGGAACAAACTGGGGTTAAGGATATCATAGCTGAAATCAAGAAGAAGAAACGGACATGGGCAGGGCATGTAGCGCGTAGACAGGATAACCGCTGGTCATTAAGGGTAACTGACTGGATTCCCAGAGAAGGGAAGCGGGTTAGGGGGAGACAGAAGGTTAGGTGGGCAGATGAGATTAAGAAGTTTGCGGGTATAAATTGGCAGCAGCAAGCACAGGACCGGGTTAACTGGCGGAACATGCGAGAGGCCTTTGTCCTGCAGTGGACGTAGTCAGGCTGATGATGATGATGATGATGATGATGATGATGATGATGATGATGATTTAACTGGTGGTAATGTACCTGCGTGCGTGGCCCATCTTCTAGGTCCAACTCCAGATCAGGAGCACCGCGCCAAATGGTGTTCGGGACATATTGCAGAAGCGGCTAATGATAGAGTGGACAGTTCTCCTCGAGTTATTACTAACGAAGCGACTGTCTTTTGTCCAGATACCTGCCTAGCTGCCATGACAGTCCCTCACACTTGCCGGAATATCTTAGAACACCAGCATCGAAAACAACATTCTCCGCTACACCATCGGATATTGGTGCAAAGGAAGCGTATGAGAAAAGTGCAAGAGTGGAGAACTGGAGGCCTGGCTTTCGGGTGAGGAAAAAGGTTCAAATTGGGCTCCTCAACTATAGTGCACTGGGCTTCTGAGGGCAGAGTCATGGACTAGGGACCCCGCCCATCTGATTCTCCATCCCTGCTTTTCTTTGATTGATATGTTTGGTTTAATGTCTCCAAATCATCAAACAATTATGCGAGACACCGTAGTGGAGGGCTCCGAAAATTTCGACCAGCTGGGGTTCTTTAACATGCTCCAAAATCTGAGCACATGGGCCAACAGCATTTTCACCAGCATCGAAAATGCAGCCGCCGCAGCTGGGATTTGATCCCGTGACCGGCGGGTGACCAGCCATGTACCTAACTAGACGACCACGGTGGGGCTCCCTCCTTTTCAAAAAGCAATTTTCAGTTCAACACGACTCTCGATCCAAGTATATTTAGTAGCGACAAAGACGCGGCTATTTCGATCGCCCTCTTGTTGTCTTCTTCCGTGCCATGAGATTTTTGATGGCTTGAGAGAGTGCAAATACGTGAAGGAGCTTTCCTGTCTGATAACGGGAGAGGGCACGTCATGTAACGTGCAGCTTTGCTGGTCATCCACCTTCACAGATTCGAATTGTTCAAACTTTTTTGTTTTCCTGCGGTGCAAGAGAAGCAAGTTTTACAGCAGACCCAAGGAATTCTCGCCGTCAACCGATATAAAACCAGCGAATACACAGTGACCTAATGTGCATGCGTTTTCTGTTCTGTAGAAAAGATCAGACTGGAATGCTGCACGACTTTCAGTCCTATAGTTTAAAACATCAATGCTTTGTCGGCATAAAGAAAAATGACAGAAATTTCTAAAGTATTACTTATCCACGTGATTTCCTTAAGATGATTTTCCTCCACCAATTCTCTCTTTTCAGGGTATTTTTCAAATCGTTGTTTGGGGAACTCCAGTGAGCCGCCACTGTGGTCTAGTGGTCATGGCGCTCTACTGCTGACCCGAAGACCGCGGGATCGAGTCAGGACAGCGGCGGCCGCATTAGGATGGAAGAAATACGCTAGAGACCCATGCACTTAGGTTTAGGTGCACGTTAAAAAAAACCCAGGTGGTCAATATTGTATCATGATTTTGGGCCGAGAAACCCCAATCAATGTTGATACATATTCATAATCTATTGGCTCATAGAGCAACAACCTTTCTCTGAAGTTCATAGAGGTATTAAGTGATTCCTTGCAGTAGCATTGCTTCAAGTGTTCGTTACTTCAAGGCATGTGTTGTTACTCTGTTAAGTTGCCGCTGCTGGCCGAATTTAAAATTTGTCGCTAGATCTTGCAGAACCGGCACAAAGACTGATTTTGTGGCTGTAGGAGCAGCGTTACGTCAGCGACGCTTGTTTCAATGCCCGAAAAAACATGCTTTAACACCTATCACATTTCAATTCTTGTGATGTGTTCAAAAGTGGATTATTATTATTGTTATTATTATTATTATTATTATTATTATTATTATTATTATTATTATTATTATTATTATTATTATTATTATTATTATTATTATTATTATTTTGTGGGTTTTGACGTTCCATAAGCACTTTACGATTATGAGAGACGCCTTTGTGAAGAGCTCCAGTAGTCTTAACCTTCTGGTGTTGTTTAACGTGCACTGACATCGCACAGTACACGGACCTCTACGATATTGCCTCTATGTAAATGCAACCGCCGCGGCCGGGATGAATTCAGCCCGCGGTACCCGGGTCAGCAGCCAAGCACCGCAAATTACAATTCAAAAGTCGGGGAATGAGACGACACTTATAACTAACTATTCATCATAGGTAAGACACTCTGCTCATATCCTTTTTTCTTGTTTACATGCTTTGTGCTTCTCGTACCGCTGCTGAACATTTTCTTGTATACTTTTATGGAAATATATAAAAACAAATAAAGTACTGACCTTTTGCTGCCCACCCTGTTTATTCCCCGGTTGCAGTAACACATTACGGACACGTACAGCAGGTTTTCAACGTTTTTCAAGGCCAGACATAGGTCACTCACCGGTAAAGACAGCAGACACGTGGCTGCGTGGAGACTATTCATGTGAGCCCCGTCGGCCACCTTCTGGGCAATGTCCTGAATGTGCCCGGAGCAGATCTTCTCGTATCGTGCCATCTGGCGCATCCTTCCACTAACCACTTCAGCTGGATATTCGATCATCCACGAGGGCTCCTCTTCTTCCGCATGAAACCAGACGATGATTAAGCCGCACGACTCTTGACAAATCCATGTCTTCACCTTCACGAATGATGGCGCTGAAACGAGGGGTGAAATTCAGTACACTGCGCTCTTGCCGATTAGCCAAAGTCAGCAGCCGAGCTTTTGGGGTTTTTCTTTTGTTGATAACATAAATGTCTGAGTTATAATGGCCTACTTGTAATGAATTAGCTTAATATGGTTGGTAAGCCACCCTCCGGGGTATGCGCTGCTCTATATACCGCTTTCAGTACGGGATAACCAGCTGAGTTACATAGGCTAAACTAAATATTTCCATGTTTTATTTTACGGGTCTTCCAAAGTTCGAAAATGTCAGCGCATGTGCGGATCAATTTGTGCAGAACATCATTTCTATGTATTAGTACTTTAAATGATAACTGTGTACGGCTTTTTTTTTTCAGCCTCATTTCACAAGTAAGCATTATGCATATCGAACTTCAAATGGTTCTTAGCATGACGATTACAAAATAGTGGCTATATGTTCATAAAATGGCCTTCATCCTTACTTTGGCTGGCGTACGGTACATCTGTGCAAACTCCGGTGTCCGCCTGGAATTTCCACCCGTGGAATGGGCACTGGATGCAATCGCCCACTACTCGCCCCATCACTCCAAGGTGAGCGCCCAGATGCGGGCAATAGGCATCTAACACGTGTGCCACACCATCCGGGGTGCGAAACGCAACAAGCTCCTGGCCTTGAAAACAAGAAAAGATGATAAACAACTGTATTCCCGCTGTGCATATACGTTTAACGCGCCTATGCATCTCATTAGTCTCTCGCGAATTTTATACAGAACAACAGTCCACTCACCGCGCAAAAATGTGGCACCTACTACTGCCTTGATCAGCGGTGCTGTATAAAGCAAACATAGTTAATTCGATGCCTCTAGATTCGGGAAAGAGACGAACAATTGGCCTTCAAAAATACAAAATACAATTTACGTGTGCGATGTGGTTTCCACAGCAACACCGACATTGTGTTTGCATGTCGCTCACTTAATTTTTTAGCGGTCGTCATCCCTGAAGCGCACGGCAGAGTATGATGATGTCACAAACTACCTAAGAAGTGCGTCCGCAGAACAGCTTTGATAGTATCGAACGTCAGTAAAGGAGGAAGAGGAGGACGAGAAAAACGGAAAGAGAGGCAGGCTAGCCAGTTCTCAGACCGACTGGCTACCCTATGCTGGGGAAGATGATGAAGGGAGAGAAAAGTTTGTCAGCTGACCGTATACGCTGCTGTGTACGTATTTTTCCTCGATACTACACCGATTATTTTTGTGCTGGAGTCATGCACTAGTTTTCCACCTCAGCTCACTGCCAAAAGCTGACAAACAATGCAATTCACATATTGCGTACCTTGATATAGCAGTCCTTGCCACAATTTGCGAATCGCGTATTTACTGACACTTTGATATGTGGGGTTTACCGTCCCAAAACCACGATATGCTTATGAGAGACACAATAGAGGAGGGCTCCGGAAATTTCTATCACGTGGGGGTCTTTAACATGCTCACAAATCTGAGCACACAGGGTTACAGCATTTCCGCCTCCATCAGAAATGCAGCCACCGCAGGCGGGATTCGATTCCGTGACCTGCGGGTGAGCAGCCGACTACCATAGCCACTAAACCATCGCGGTGGGGCTTACTGGAACTTCACGTAGCCGTTTGCGAACCTTATTTTACACAACGTGCAATCAACTCCACTCGCCCCCAAAAACACTGTCCCAAGCCTGCAATAGTTCGCCTGAAGCTCCTGCGAAGATGTATAGCGAGCACCTCCCGAAGGAATCCGGGGCAAGGCGACTCCCATGGTTGCTTCCACGCTAGCAGTTGGTGGCTATAGTTTGCGCCATATTGGCTTCTTTATGACACCGTATGGTGACCGGAAAGTTCATGTTGACTATCTGGCTTGTTTCTGGTTTATTTCGTACTTGTGTTTCAGCGCCTTAAGTAGCCATTTGTTATTTGTAGATAAGGCTACGAGAAAGCTAAAGATCAGCCATTGTTTCCAAGCTTTTGAGTAGCACTGCGCGATGCACGCTCTTTTTCTGAGATGACTGCTGTGCATCGAGGTCAACCCCAAGCAGCGAAGACGGAGTAATATATCCGCATATATTTATGAGGGGTTCACACCTGTGACTAGCACTAATCACGCGACCAAGTTGGTCGCAAAGCAACTTGCGGCAAACGATTGGAAATGACAGCTTTGATCGCAAAACCCCTGCTTTTTCTCCGTCGCCTCTTAACGCGATAGTGTTAAAAGGCTAGTTTCGTTGAAATTCAGGCCTCAGCCTCTTTGGTTGTGAACGAAAAATCATCAACTTTGCGTGACCACAAAATCAAGCATCTTTGCGTGACCACAAAAATTGAGAAAGATGCAAATAAAATAAATAATAACATTCTTGCGTCTCAAGGGGGACAAAACTCGGGTCACTTGAGCGCAAGCGTATGTTCTACCACACAGCCACGCCTCGGCTTGTGAATACAGTGAAAACAAATTCCTCTGCTTGGAATTGCAGTGAAAATAGCTTTCGTGCTTTACAAACACACGTGTTTTGTAAACATTCTTCACAATATAACATGACATATTGCTACATTAATGAGTGGTAAAAGCATGCATTGTGATTGGGCGTCAGAACGTGTAATTATCATGACGACTTGATAATTTAAAGCCAGTCACCCACAAGAAAAGGCACACACACACACACTTCTACACCCTTAAGGCCACGTAGTGGGTGCATATCAAGTTCGAAAAGATTTTATCCTCTAATTGCTTGAAGTACGCACTAGGAACGGAATATTGCTATCGCGTTCAACTCCTAAAGGTGAAGCTTTAGTGTCTCCCTATTTTGCTTCGTCTTTTTGGTCACGCTACAGCAGTCACGAAACTCTGAATACATTAGATGTTTCGAAACATGGCGCCAGCTCAGTTTATGGGGCGATGCAATGGAAGCAGACGCGAATTTCGTGTGACGATGGGTATAGGTCACAGGTGTGTCTGAACATCGGTGGCTTTTTCACTGCCAGTCGTAAGTAGACGCAGGTGTGAATGAGCTTGTAGGCAAATGCGCGGCTAACATGCTGGTAACGCTGCCCGTCAAATACGCGCCACTTTCTTATGCGCAGCACGGGCTCCCGTGTGAGCTTGGCAAAATAGAGAGAGAGACAGACTTCCCTATATTTGCTGAACGGGTAGTATGGTCACCCTATACTAATATATTTCGGTCTATGGCTTCATAGGAAAAACTATACCAGAATTTCACGGGGCAATAGCGTGAAACATTCATTCACTTCATAGAGATAAACTATACTTTTAGGACTGTTGCCATTTTTTTCGCAAGTATATGCTAATCATTATCAAAGTAAATGAAAGCCCATTTCATCATGAATTTTATGCTGGAAATAAGCCTGTGAAAATCAGTGTGATATGACGACTTGATTTTTTGCGTATTTCGGTCGTATTAGTGCAAACAAACTTCTCAAAATTTCAAGTGATAAGACTTTGGATCCCTCAGGACACAATATGAAAACATATTGCAAATAAATAATGACGTACACCCTTAGTAGACGGCGTCCAAACCTATAACGTCATGGCGAGCTTGAAGCGGAAAATTTTAGAGGACTTTGCCAGCTGTATTTTATTTTTGCGTCTTTTCTCTCTTAACAAGCGTCTCCTCGAGTTACCAATGCCGCTCTTGATATTGGGACAATTGCTACTCACGAATACACGAATTCTTTTCCATTTCGTGTCTCATCAACGCGTCTACTGTACCCGCCACAGCGGTATATCGTTTATGGTGCTATGCTATAAGAGTCCCCCAACATTCGCAGCTTTGAACTAGGTCGCGGCGGCCGCATTTTCGATGGAGATGAAAATGCTTGAAACCCATGAGCTTACACTTAGGTGCACGCTAAAGAAGCCCAGTTGGTCAAAGTTTCTCGAGCCTGCATCTACGGCGTCCCTAATATTCACATCGTGGTTTTGGGGCATTAGCCTAAACCCCAGCAATTATTATTATTAACGTGCCGCCGAGTGGTTCACCACAATGTTTCAAAATGCTTCAGGATAAAAATCCTATTCAGTTGAAGCTTGCGCGTGCGCTGTATAGTCATAATGACTACGAACAACTGCGAGAAATAAACTGATACAAGGGAGACACACGCATGAGCGCAGACAATCAACTGGAAGCTTTTTTAAAAAAACACAAAGCACATGATAGAAAACCACATGGATTATTAGAGGCTGACTGTTACATAATCTATCTCTAGTTTATGCAACGTAACGTATGGCCTGTCAGAGCACATATTGCCATATTTATGAATAAAAAAGCCCCAATTACTTCCCGCGTTGATTTATCTTTAGGCCGGGACAGCATTTTCTTTGGCGCAGCAACGAGTGAGATTTGCAAACTTTACAATTCAACCAGAAATTCGGCGAAAAATGCGCCTTTAGTGATGCCCTGTGGTCAATTGAACAATTATTTAAACACCTACTACGCACAGCAATCAGTCCTTCTGAATTTTATGTTGTGATAATAATTTAGAAATTTGCAACTACTTTAGGACCAAGGAAAAGGGTGAAAACGGGTGCTATCCATTCTATTTTATTCTTTGTTATTATTATTTATTGCTAAAAAAGAAACGTTATTCATAAAATTGTTTCTGTTGTACTTGGCTACAAATATGGCTTTAGACCTAAATGAAATAACTACTTAAGCTTCTTTTAGCTTGATCGCTGGCTCCCTTTCGAAATCTCCCTAAAGCAACCCTGGTAGCTTCTGTCACTTCAGCCCCCAGACAATCCGTCTTCAGACCACCATACATGTAGTGCTCATGGCCATGCTGATATCCTTCGCAGACCATGCTGTTATCCAGTGGGACAGCTACCTAGCACCAGTGACATTGACGCTATCGTTCACCTGAAGAAGATGAAGCCAAAAAAGACGAGGTCTATACCCACGCGACAGCTTTGGTATCTCGGGAACACCGGCAATAAAAAGGCAGTTTTCCACTGCGTGAGCAGGAGCACTTCTAACTGCACTCCAATTGCTCCCGCAGCCCCTTCCAGTGGCCGCGGGCAGGAGCGGAGGTGTTCTGTTCCACGGGTCGATCAGAATCACTTTTTCGGTGCCGACAGCATCCGAGAGCAGTTTCTGGTGCTCCGCAGCCAGCGGCTGAGTAAAGAGAGCGCGGAGGAAGTCACATGATCTTTCTACGTCACTTCTGGTTTTATGACAGGGGCGGCGGTGGCAAAAATGGCAGAAGGTAACAGTGATGCTCCCCCAGGGCTGACTGCATTAACGCGGGAAAAGTCTGGTCACATTATGCCTGACAGCACGCGCGCCCTCTGCTTGCCCTGCACTCGGACAAGCATGATTGTTCTATTCGGGAAACAAAAGCACACGTCCCCTTTGCCTCCGTGTGCTGCTCCGCCTGCTCATTCTATTGCTCATGCTCACCCAATAGAAAGCGCTAAAGGTAAAGAACAAGTCGGGTTGCATTTCGGTGCTGGAGCAGCGTCTCGCTGCCACTATCTCTGTCTAACACAAGCATTCTGCACGTTAAATTCTGCTACTTGCACTGCTTATGTAGCCGATATATAATACGTGCACGCTAGATAAACAGTTTAAAGGTAAGCATATTTGACAGAGGTCTGTCTGACTGAGTAAAATTGTACGAGTAAACAGACTTTCCAAGCCTGTTTAGCCTCACAAAACACAGCGAGATGTATCATCATATCAACTTCGATGCCGCGTGGGTCACCCAAACGGAAGCTAGCCGCACAAAAAGGGTTTTCTTAGAGTCTTCATTTCGCAAAACCAAACGACACCTCCAAATATTAACCGCTCAGCTGTGGCCCTGCCAAGCGTGGGTGTGCACGATCTGCGGAACTAATGGAGAAAACAACGCAGTAACAAGAAAGACGGTAAGAATGATGGTGGAGAGGAAGACAACCACTAACTGACCAGAACCTGAATACCAAATGGTCTTGAAACATTGGGCCACTATTTAGTTTCTTTATTGAAAACAATAGACTAGACCAGGCAGGTGGGGGAGTGATTGTTAAATGAGAAGAAGAAAAAAGTGAGCCCCGTAACTGTCTCTCAGGCGGAGGACACGTCAACAGTAGCTGACGAGAGAGGGAGTAAGAGGGGATTAAAATGATAGGATTAAAAGGTATAGAGATAGAGAGAGGGGAAGGAGAGAGCGAGGCGCGGCAGGGACAGCTACGTACGGAAGTGAGAAGACAGGAAAGATGAACACGGTCGCAGGAGTCCGAGGACGGGGCACCAATCGGCGAGAGCTCTTGTCAGCGTCAGGAGATGGCGTAGGGCGAGCCAGTCGGCTAGAGCTGCGCTGTCGTTGGAAATAGCGGGGCACAACCGGTCAGCACAAAATTATGTGAGTGAGTCAGGACACGAGGCTAGAGAGTCTGTTTATTCGTATAAACCATTGGTATAACGCATAGTTCAGCTGTTTACAAGGCGAAAACTCACCGAATGCTTGAAGTGGAACTACGTCGTTGAGGCCAAGCGCAGAAGACTCTAGCACCGGAATCCAACCATTTGGGAAAACTGGTGGCAGATTTTCGCTATGGGCAATGTAGGTACGTATTGAGTGTTCTTTACTGTGTCTCTGGAAACAAGGGTGAAATAATGGTTCACCTGTATTCAATGAAGACAAAATCCACACAGAAAACATCATTTTATTACGCTAGAAGTTACACGACCATTATTTATATATGATAGCATCGAACCGTCTTCACGTGGTTTCAAGGGGGCCTACAACAATTTTCGAGCATAGTCAGAAAACGATGCCGAGGGACATAGGTCAGCAAACTCACTCATATGTCGACTCACCCAGACTGAGATCGAAACGCGAGTTTCAGTGTGAGTGAGTCCGTGTTAGTGATATTTCGGTGAGTGTGAGTCTGAGTAAGTCTGGTTTAGAAAAATTGAAACAGTCTGAGTTAGAGTGAGTCCGGTGGAGGAAAATATTGACTGATGTGAGTCCGAATGAGCCGTACGGGCATGATATATATATCAAGTGAGCCTGAGTGAGCTTTACAAATAGTTGCTGACCCATAATCCTGTATACTAACCTATCAGTGTAACTAACCACGGTATATCAGCTTACGTTTATACCCGAATGCATTCACACATAAGGCAATGTTCAGCATTCATTCGGCACCTCAATTTTTACAGATCCGAGGCGTGATTTATGGGGGGGGGGGGGGGGTGACATTTCTCCACAAATTCTTCAACGAAATTCTTGAAGGAAATATCTCGTGTGCGCCACATATTTCACAACATGCTTCGTAGATTCAAAGCATTGAAAACTCATATACGAAGGTACAATATTCAAAGGCGTATCATAGAGCCTCGATTGAGTTATTCGCATTGAATACCATACACCGTGACCACAAAAGTTTAGGTTACGCCAGTGGACTCTTGTGTGAGTCACTCAGTCTCAATCAGACTAACTTCAAGCCATGAGTTCGAGTATGAGGGCGTTGGGCTAAGTACTAATCTGTTGCGTATACACGAGCCCGAGTAAGCCCGGTTGGGAAAAAAATCCAGTGAGTCAGATTCCGAGTGAGTCCGGTTGAGGAAAATTTCAGGGAGTCTGAGTACGAGCAACAAACATTCCTTGAGTGAGTCTGAGTAGTTTTTAATATTTTTGCCCACCAATGCCGATACGTAGTCGAGGCTCCTGAGAACACGCGAGGCAAGCATCATAGCGCAGCACGTGTTTTGATATTTATGAATAATTTTCAAGGCCATAGAGAATCTCCCTCTCTTGACAAATGATGCCATAAACCCAACGTACACGGCCATTGGGAGATTTGAGCATTCTGATATGCATGATTATTGCGGCAGCTACGGAATGGCGCCACATGCCAGTGCTTGAGATCACGCTCAAAGTAAGCGGCGTGTTTTAATAAAACAAAAGCAACATTGCTCAAAGTCATGACACGCGCGTGGGGTATATTCGCCCGGGACATCCCTCCCTGCTTAGCTTCCAGCATGCTCGTCGGGTCGAGAGAACAGAAAAAGCAATTACAGCATGTAACAAATATAACTCCGCTCATACCTTACAAATTTTTCAAATTTTTGCGGTGGTTGGTTCGTGAGGCGTTAATCTCTTTTACTCAATCTATTTCATGGTTATGTCACGTGGCCATAAACTACTGCATGCAAGTCAGCATCAAGTGCCCTTTGACACAGAGAAAAACTCGGATGATGCTTGAGCTTCACTTTCCGGAGTAGAACGTGATAATGCAATCGGGCCCCGTGTGCTATCGCCTTCAATAATGCCGCAAAAAAAGATCAAATTCCTACTGCTAGTAAAGTTGCGATGTGACTATTACGCCATAGGTTTCTTTTTACAAAATTTCGAAGTACCCACTACACACCCTTATGTTACCCCGCCCACTGCGCTGCACACTTTGTAATGAGTGGGTAGCTTTAATGCTCGTTGCACAATTCACTTGTTTTGACTCCTCGTGAAACTCCACGTTTGTGCCACTCAATATTATATGTGGTAAGGGGACAATTGTCACATCATGAAATTCTCACACCATTTTATTTACGAAGCAATTTAACCTACAGGCATGGCTTCGTGGTAGACCACCTGCTTTCCACGCGGAAGCTTTTTGTTTCATTCTGACACACACCAAACATTTTTCATTTTTCTTTATTATTTACATCTACTTTGAATTTTCGCTCACAGATAACGCTGATTTTTTTTTTGGCTATATAGCTAATGACGCCACCAATACTAACGAAATTGATGCAAAGAGAGCTCTTTAACGCTCTCGCATTAAAACATCGTGAGGCATTTCTGTATGTGAAGGTAGATTTACAGTGAACCTGCTGAACACATGGCAAAGCGGTCACTAAAAATAAGCACCTTTAGAATAGCGTACGCAAACATAGCTTTCCTTGTGGTTGGCCGCTATTTCCGTCACTTAACAGGAGCCCACAAGATGATAGCGCATGATACATACGCAGAGGTGAAAAAACAATAGTGCAAAGGTTTACATAGGCTACCCTAAAGCTCTCTAATTTTGAACGAAAGATCTTCTTGATTGTCTTCATCGGTGGCCCTCCGAAAGAAAGGTACGCAAATTTATTGTTCTGAACGGTGGTAATTGATTTTTCTTAGAATAAAGAGACACGCTGTTCACACCAACATGCCAAGCACACACACGAACGTCTGTAACCACACGCCACCATCAAAGAAACAACGAAGCCATACATACACGAAAGCAGAAATTATAACAGCTGATTCGTGGGCGCATTACGTTTTCTCACCGCCAACTCGGGGCACCACCGCACGCGATCACTATGGGTCAGTGCCCGGCCACTGCTCTGTGCCCCAGAGAAGGGAGGGTTGGCACGGGAAGTGCCCATCGATTGCAGCAGAATAAGCCTTATGCTCCAGCAAGAATGACTACCGCCAGCTCGGCGAACCATTGGAAAGTATAGGCCATTGAAGTGTTAACAAACACACCCTTAAAGACATCCGGTTTCTTCTACCGGGGTGCTTTAATAGCATCGGTGGGCAAGAAGAGCTTCAGAAAATAGCCCGCGCATTTTCTACACTTTCATTGTCTCTTTTGGCAAAATTTATTCAATTAAATGTTTTTGAGCTACAAAAAAGTGATATGAGATTCCTTTGTACTTTACTCACGTTCCTTTTATCTGAAAAACTAAAGGGAGCTACCCTTACTCTTGAAAAAGCTTGAGAACGTGCTTTGAATTTTAAAGTTAGAAGATGGTAAATGAAGTGATGGGAAGTTTTTTAGGGTACAGCGCTTGCAATCTTGAAACCATCTATAGTCGTTGATGTTGACGTTCGACAAAAATGCAGACAACCAGCCATTTACAGTTTTGCTGGAAAAAGACAAACTTTGAACATAAGCTTTCCATTTTTATGCTGCTAAAAAGCTATATTTTCTCGTAACTCTTTCCTTGTGGGTGTGTGTCACATGGCTAGTCACTCTATGGAAGTTTTATTTGCCGACAACCGATGACGCGAACTGACCCAATGTGTCAGTTCGCGTGATCGAGCTCCACCGCGTGATACCTCTAAGTGACAGTATGTCCGCAAAAAAAGGTTGTAAGCTTACCTTGCCGAGTTTCTTGAGCGAACGCTGCGGTAATATATACCACCATGTAGTGCCCATCGCAGCAGTGAGTATCGCCGCGGCACCAAGCCCCCATGTTTTCGGCGACAGCAAAGCCACGTATTCGCTTGTGATCATACTGTAGTGTGTTCAAGCCCAAGCCCGGTCACCCGGTGTCGAAGTGGAAGGTCAACAAAGGAGGACACAGTACTGACTGCGAAAATATAGTGTAATAGCGATTACATGGATGCTCTCAGCTGCTTTTTGCCCTGGCTATCATATGCCATATATATATATATATATATATATATATATATATATATATATATATATATATATATATATATATATAAAATAAAATACACCAACCTGCGTGCTGTCTGTACGAAACAACGTTTACTGACGAAAAACAGTCCGTAGCTTCGCTGTCAAGTGCTTGAATGTCGGTGAAAGTTTCCTCACCGTGGTTCGATGGCAAGTGGCGTCAAATTCAGGGGATCTGCGCAACCTCATTCGTTTCCTTGTCAGCCAGTAAGTGGCTGCCGAATCGCATATTTATTCGATGTATAAAGTACGCATGCACCCTGCTCAGAAACCAACTTGTTCGTGGTGTGTGGGACAAAACATAGTATAAAGACGACAAACAGGCCGTCACTGCCGCTGCCAAGCGCCTATGGTATATCATCTTTCAAGAACACTTATGGGAGTAAGCATTAAGGCAAGTTGGTATCAATACATTGTTGAAAACTAGGCTGCGCAACCTTAACGCTTACATAAGGGTAGAAAAGTAGACAAAGACAAGCGCTGCTTCTTGTCCACTTTTCAATACATGTGTCGGGTGGTGCTTGATGTTTCAAACAAAAAAGTTAAGTGGTCTTCCATTGTAAATGCACGGCCCCTTTATAAACGAGCTAGAGATCTAAAGCCATTCTTTTGTCACAACTGCTTGAAATGTTTCATCGCCTAGATGCAATCAGGTCAGCAAAAACACAGCGTGCAAACGTGGACGCAACAAAGGATATTAGGACATCACAAATGAAATGACTACTAAAAACTGAAGACGAGCCCATTGACGGGAAAGAAAGAAGACACGAAAACTTGTCTGCGCATGCCTACGAAATATGTAAACTAATTTATCAATCTGGTGCGCGTTGTGGTGAAAAATAACTGTTGAAGTATATGATTTCATATTTCTGCATAATAATTGCCGGTGGGCTCACGCATGCACGGTTGTGCGAATACAATGACTCAATCATCAGACGCTGAATGATTGATTGATCTGTGGGGTTCGACGTCCTAAAATCATCTTATGATTATAAAAGACGCCGTCGTGGAAGGCTCCAAAATTTAGACAACCTGGGGTTCCTTAAGGTGCACCCAAATCTGAGCACATGGCCCTAGCATATTCGCCTCCATCCAAAATGCAGCCGCCATAGCCGGGATTTGATACCGTGACCTGCGAGACAGCAGCCGAGTACCTTAGCCACTAGACCAATGTGGTGGGGCCATCATTCGATGCTTTTGTTCATTCCTATACCAGTACAAAACGGTGCCTTCATCAAATTTCGACGTTCACTTTCTCACTCGGGCATGTGAAGAAAAATTAGGTCAGCCTCCGGTTAGCGATCTCTTATAACATTATCTTGTTAAGGAAGCAACCCGTCTGCCCAACTAAGACGAGGCCACAACTGATAGGGTCCTTATATACTGCACTTGCATGCACGGCAATTGGTGAATTTGCCCGCAGGTCGCGGGATCGAACCCCGGCTGTGGCGGCTGCATTTTCGATGGAGGCGGAAATGTTGTAGGCCTGTGTGCTCAGATTTGGGGGCACGTGAAAGAACCCCAGGTGGTCTAAATTTCCGGAGCCCTCCACTACGGCGTCTCTCATAATCATAAGGTGGTTTTGCGACGTAAAACTTCACATATCAATCAATTGGTGAATTTTTTGGTGTGTTAACGTAACAAATATCGGTCCGCTTCTTACCTATTACTCTCTCATTATTTCTCTCCAGAGTAGCGCAAATCTTACCTAGCTTACTGTCAGCCGTAAAACCAACATTAACACCTTATCTATTTCCAATTTTCTTTAGCCGGTGAGATACGCAAAGAATGTACGATATACCGATGACACGTTTTATCATATCACTTTCTTCATTTATGCCCCAACTGGACATATGGGACTTCTTTAAACGTTCCGCAACCATTACCTACATATAAATGACGCGTACGGTAACCTGTGCGTTAGGGCTATCACTTCTTTTGTGCTTACGTGACTTCGTGAGGGCCAACATGGAACAAGACATGTCTATACCATCTTTTACAAGTTTTGATTGCTTCGTTGAGAACATTAGGGGTTTGAAAAACTTAGAGATAACTGCCAGCTTACGTGCCTTTTATGAAATGTTCAGGCAATGTATTCATATTGTATTCCACTTTTCTGAGACGATTGCTTAGTAAAGTTCCGGTCCCTTCAATTTATTGAAATTTTGGCGCTCACTGAGGTTACCACATTTTCAAAATTATGACTACTACGAAAAATCAAGTAGTCACCTTTGTAGCAAAAACCTTAATAATGGGATTACCTAAAGCACCTTCCAGACGTTTGTCTATCTTGCGGAGGTGCAAATTCTTAAGAACCGAAGCAACCTCAGAATGAATACATATCTCTGATTTTTGTACATAAGCTTCTCTCTTCTTACATGCTAGCATCGAGTTTACATACTCGGAAAGAATTTCTATACAAGCGTAGAAACGCTACATTTTTGTCTGTAAAAACCGTCTCTTTCTCTTGTTCATTGATACAAATATTATTTTAAATTTAAACTAGTCATCATGTGGCAACGAATAATAAAGCTCCTCAATATCCATAACAAAAGCTTTACAGCCGAGTCTCGTCTTAATAGAAGTGAACTAAGAGGCAGTCGTGGAAGGCACGTTTTGTTGCCGTCCTAACGCTTCCACGCTGCGTGCCCTAACGGATGAAAGAACCCGGCAAACGAAGGCCGCGTTATCGAAATAACTTTCTTGTGGCGTTCATGAGCGTGTCATGTGTCGTTGCGTAAGTGTGAGAATAACGAGTGCTGTCGAGAGAAGTGAAGTGTTTTTAATGTAGGAAGTCTAACATGAACGGCTCGTCATGTAGGCACCCTTTAGTTCCGGGGCTGAAAATATACCTATAAACAGGTATGTTCGCTAGCATTTCTGATTGGCTGTTAGCCCCATATGCTTTACATCAAAGTAATTAACTTAAGTCTACATGTAAGTACTTCCTGGTGGCCATTCGGTTGAGCCTCGTGATGTTACACAGACAGCCCGTCTCATTTTACAGCGAAAGCTTTTATCAGATCACAACTCGTGCCTCGCGCAACGCTGTAGCTATCCGCCGATGTCGCCGGTGTCCACAGCCAAATCGATCAAAATTAGTAAACAAACCTAGTGCCAATGACACAGTGGGGATTGAACCCGGGTCCACTGGGTGCCAGCCCAGTATTCTACCACTGAGCCACGCTGGTGCTTAGGACTTATTTGCAAACTTGCCTTAGACAGGCTTGATATCGTGAAAGCAATCGTGTTTATCGACTTACAAAGCGTTTTAATACAGCTAAAGAACAAGCAGCCATCGCACAATGCGAATAGCGTAATGAATGAGTCGTCCAATGCTACAACCTATTACAAAAGCTTGTTTTTGTTTTCAGCTATAAACTGTGGTGCATACCCACTTCAGGCATAACTCCTCATCGTCGTCAGCCACTGCATAAACAATTGGCACAAATTTCCTCGAAATAGCTTAGCGGATACCAAGCTTCTCAGAAGAATGACGCAAAATAGCATAGCGAATGCAGGCCTACAACTCTGAAATTTTTATTGTTAATGCAGTAGTGAGCATCAAGCAACTGTGCTTGCAGCAGTTACCCAATGAGTGTTTAGAAAAGGCTCTGAAAGGCCGGTAGCTTTCACTGTGACTGTACCGCAACTTACGCGCAGGCCAGGCTTTTTTTTTTTTTTCGGGAGCGAAAACCAGTGAGCAGTTGACAACCTGAAAAGGCCAAGAAACTTGTCTATAAAGCTAGTATGAGTCGCTCGAGCACTCTCTGGCGCCATATATGCTGAAATCTAGTTGTTGGCAGTCTATACCTAAGCATTCAACCTAAGCGCCTTTGCATGCAAGGATTGTGATTTTTTTAAAACCAACTGCAATGAGAAAACGCCGTCAGTGCAGTCCGAAGCGTGCCTTTTAGGTGTTTTAGACAAATGTGCTGACCAGTGACCTTTAATGTACTACGTTACGCACCCGTACGGCAACATACCTGACTCCCCAGTGAGACGAGCACTCGCTCTGGTCTTTGTCTCGGTGATAAGTAGGTCGCGGGCCGCAATCCGTGGTGGTAGCATTTTAGATGGAGGCAAATATGTTTTAGAGCCGTGTGTTAAGATCTAGGTGCATGGTAAAGAACCACAGGTGGTAAATTTACTGCGGCCCTTCACTACGCGTTTCTTACAATATTAACTGTTTTCAGGACTTCAAACACCTAAAAATATTACTCTTCGGACGCGTTGCAACAGGGTATGAATAAGTGCAACGAAGAAGAAAGCGGTGTATACTATGGCCCAATGGAGTAAACTAAAATCAATTAACCAAATTAGTGAACTGCACAGTATGACTACCACAACAAGGTAAGATAAGTTAAAATAGTGCAAGCGAACCATGATGGCCAAAAACCGAACCTTTTTTTGTCACGTGACCTTATGTCGCTTTGCAAGACGTAGCCCGTTGAAGCCGATCGCTTTACCAGTGACGTAGTATGTGACATTTAACTTGGAATCACGCGAACCCCAGCTGTTGAGGTGCGAATATATACTCTCCCTATTTGCATCGTCTAGCTCCCACAGGGCGTCTAAAGTCCCTAAAAAACTAAAGTAGCGCCAACCGCACTCCTTCGCTTGTGCCTGCTCTCTCATCAAAGCGTCGCGATAAACGCGCCCTCACGCATCGAGGCACTCTATCTCATAGCAGAAGCAAAGGAGCGCATCGTGGCGCTCTATCTCATCAGCTGCAGTAACACCCTAACGGGTTTATCACGACGCTACGAACACAGGCATACCCTCTCACGGCGCACAGGGCTGGGTAAGCGAGTGTCGTCGAGGAAGTAAAAGGAAACACGCGACCGAGGACAAACAAGATGGCACTTGCACTACCATGGCTACCAAGCGCGGGGGAGAGAACTAGCCTGCACACTGACACAAATGGCGCTACGTTAGTTACGGAACATTAAGGGAGCTTGGATGTGCGCGGCCTCGCTAAGGGTGGAGCCGCTCTATGACGGAGTAGTCGCCAGCAGAATCGCTTCTCGGGTAGCGCCAACGCTATTTTGTTGCTTCGCACTCACGCGGACTCTCGCACTATAGACACGAAGGCAGCTTTCGTTACGCTGTCTCAGTGCAGAACATGCTGCGTTTCGTAATGCATTAACAATGCCAAAAATGACTCGAGAATGCTTCTGTTTCCCAAGGAACGAAA